TTCATCCCCCTGCACGTCACTGTCTCTTCTGCTCTTGTCTCTCAGAAGTGATGAGGGTATGACCCACCCTGATTTGCTCTGACTGGTTCAGGTGACAAGAGAAAACCCTCCTGTATTTCTGGGTACACTGTTCAGTCCACAACACTGGGTGCTCTAGGACCTCATCTCCGCGGGAGGGCAGGGGTTGAGTTCCCGGACCTCTGAGGCTTTGGGGAGTGCAGGCTGTGACCATGAGGTGGAAAGAGGGGTCGGGATTATCGGGTGGCTCACAGAGTGCCCCGACAGAGGGCTCACCAGCTGCTGCTCCTGGGCACTGTCTAGAACCTTCTCACTGCCGGCTGGATCTCAGCCTCCTGCACCTGAGGGTGGCGGGGAGTGGGTTAGTGGTGGGGCACCTGAGCGGTGAGATGCAGTGATGGGATGGGAAGAGGGAGAGCAGTGGGGGTAACCACGTCCACTTTGATCCACTTTCATCGCAGCAGCATGGGTGGAACCGGGGCCACAGTAGCTTGTTTTTCTGCTTTTTATTGTGATTTGGGTAAAGATAAACTGAGTGAATTACTGGTTTTCCGTTTACCAGTTCACACATGTTTGTTTGCTAACACCGATTGTAACAGTGTTTACCCTGTTTCTCCACTCCTGCCTGCTTCTGAGCTGTGTCCCTGGGCAAACACTGCCCTTTTACTGCCCTTTGGATTTCAGCATTGGCTGTCCTAAGGAGTGCTGTGCCCTGGTATAAGGGTTCACCTTAGAGCTATTGGTGAAAGCTGAGCCCTAAAGGGGAGATGAGATCACCCAGCGTGTGAGGTGTCTGCAAGAACCCCCAGCCCTTCAGTGTTGCCAGGCAGGCCAGGCCCTTATGGGGCAAGGTGTCAGAATAGCCATCCTGCACATGCAGGTTGTGCTAGAGGTGACCCTGAACTTGAAATCCTCAGTACCCAGAGACAACTGGGAGGTGACCCCTAGCCAGTAGCATCAACCCATCTTGGGTGCTACGTTCAGAGTCCTGTTGTGTGGTGCACAGATGATGTGACATATTGGCAAATGAGAACCATGTCAGTACAGAAAATAGAGGGGAACGGGCTGTGGTGAGCTGGTCTGCCAGGGTGCAAAGAGCCATGGGGGGCGGGTGATGGGAGACTTCTGTACACCTCATGATGAGTCATAGGTGAGGGACCCCGAAGCCCCTCCTGGGATCGTCTGACTCGCTGCCTGGAGCACAGTAGTAGATTTCTTACCTGACAGAAGAGAAGGCCCATTCAGACATCTGGGCACGAACCTGGAATCTCAGCTCTGGTGCATATTTGGGAGCTCAGAGCAGTGCAGAACTCCTAAGGTCACAGTACTTCCGAGTACCCCAAAGTGGATGTCAGAAAGGGTAACCACGATAGAGGCAGAAGCGTCCTAGGAAGCCTTCCTGGAGGAGCTGGCATTCTACTTGGGGCAAAAGAATGAGTCAGTTTCAGGAGGGTCTCCTGTCATGGTTCACAGAGGACAGTTCTGGAGAGGCCCGGGCAGGCTGTACTTTGGAAGGTTCCTAGATCTAGTTTCCTGGCCTGGGTTTGGAAGATGGCATGAAAAGGGGAGTAGGAGAGAGAACAGCCCCTGCCCCAGCACTTCTGTCTGCCAGACAGTATTCTGAACAGCTGTGCCCACGAGCGCCCCTAAAGCCCCAGCAGCCTGGTGGGAAGTCAGTGTGTTCTCACTGATGTCATGTCGACCCCGACACAGAAAAATCTGGGCCCAGAGAGCTTGCATGGGGCCCCCTATGAGCTGACAGCTGCTGTCTGGTGTCACCTTCCAAATCCACAGCTGCTTCAGATTTTACTATTAGACCCCAGGGCCTCTCTTACCAAGATCTTGGACCCCAAAGACTGGACACTTGTCTCCTTCTCAGGATGCCCTGTGTGCCAGCCTTTCCTCTCCTCATCCCCTCACAAACCTCCTGGGTGGTTTGTGATCAGTGACTCACTTAAAGGTTAGTAGTTTGACCCCCTCAACAGCTCTGCAGAAGAAAGGCCTGGTGATGTGCTTCCGTAGAGGTTAAGGCAAGCAAGCCCCAGGGAGCCGTTCTACCCTGTATAACACACGGGTCAGCCTTGGGTGGGAATCTGTGCACAGCAGCAGGCTTTGGCTACTCAGCCCCTTTCCATAAATAGCTCACAGTATGGCGTGGATTCCGACTCAGAGTTCCTGGACTTAGAGGAGAATACACACACTCTCACAGTAACTTGTAGGCTTGAATGTGTCCTCTTCCCCACCATCTCAATCAGGTACTGCACTTCTAACCCTGTTCCTGTGGATATTGCAAACAGATTTTTTTTTGTTATGTCAATTAATCATGAGCAAATACAGTGCATTATAAACCTAATCACTTCTGAGTTGGATTGGCAATGTCTTAGGTGGGCCCAGATGGGAGGATGAATGCCTCTTGATGGTCAAGAACCAGTGAATGACCAGGGCTGTGCATGAGGAAGGGAGTTTGCACGTCCCAGGCCCTGATTTGGATGTTGAGTCTCTAGAACCATGTGGATCTCAGTTTCTGTCCTTTAAGGCCACTGGCTTATGGTGTTGGTGTGACAGTGGCCCATGGAACTAAGATGCACTTAGAAGCCCAAACATTTTCACCTGTGACGCTAACCTCACCTGCAGATGGAGCTCCTACTGTGGAAATCAAGACCGTCGTGTCCGTGGGGTGGAAGGCACACCTGTCTTAGTGCTGAGGGATGGAGACCTGTCCCGGATCTTACTTCCATGCACACGTGTTGCTGCTTCTGAGAGCAGAGCTGTGGATGAAATACTTTGAAGAAAACACCAAACTGGGTGAAGATCCTGCAGAAAGTTCCTGTTCTGTGTGTCTATGGAGGTGGAGAAGAGAAAACCCTAGAATCAATTGCCTTCACAGATCTTGTTCCTGAAGGAGGAAGAGGATGAGTGTAAGAATGACACCATTTTTCTGGTGCGGAAGCCAGGAGCTGGGCGTTCCATTCCCTCATTTATTCAACAACTATGAAGAGCCCTGGAGCCCTTGTGACATAGCAGGGAGGGAGCTGTGCGGTTAACTCCAAGGCCACACCTCTCCAGCTCCAGGGGAGAAGTGGGGGGCAGGCCCCTCTGGTTTGAGTTACAGCCTCAGATCCCTCAAGGGGAGCCAGCTATGGGTTAGTTCAGATTGTACGGCAATGAGGTTAAGTTTTGTTATTAATTAAGAGTCTGCAGTTGGGCATAATATGTTACTGCTAACTGAAAAGTTGGTGGTTCAAATCCACCAGGGGCTCCTTGGGAGAAAGATAAGGCAGTTTCCTTCCTCCCATAAAGAGTTACAGCCTGAGGAAAAGAATGGAAAGAAGAGGGAGAGGCACTGGGAGTTGAGTCAAGGGTCACCATGGATCAGGATCAGCTGAACGGTAGTGGATATGTGTCAGACTAGTGCCTTCTTGCCCTGTCTGCTGTTGGCTGTTAACCTTAAGGTTGCTGGTACCAACCCATTTTGTGGCACCTCAAAAGATCTGCTGATGGTGCAACCACTATGGAAGGCTGTATGGCGCTTTCTCAAAAAGTTGCAAATAGAAATACCATTTGACCCAGTAATTCCACTACTGGGAATATACCCCAAAGAGACCATATCTGACATCCAAGCACATATATGCACACCCATGTTTATTGCGGCTTTGTTCCCAATAGCAAAGACTTGGAAACAACCCAAGTGCCCATCAACAAACGAATGAATAGAGAAGCTGTGGTATATTCACACAATAGACTACTACACTGCATTGAAAAATAAGAAACTCATGCAATATTATTCAGAATGTGTGACCCTGGAGGACATTATGCTGAGTGAAGTATCTCAGTCACAAAAGGACAAAGACTGCATAGTGCCACTGTTGTAAAACAGGACTGACATCAGAGTTGGAGGGAGACTGAGAAAGATGGGATAAATTATGTATACTGCATTGAAACAGATGAGGAGAGAGCTGTTTAAAAGGGATGTAGGATTAGGTATTATTGTCATGACAGGAGTCCAGAATGAAGGCTGCCTAGTGGGGTGGCCTTGGGGGGAGGGATTGTATAACAATGAAAGAATTTTTCTTTTACTTTTCAAAGAGAAGAGTGAACTGGGGCGGGGGGAGGTTGGGCAGAGAGGAAAGTGCAACAATAGAAATGCAAAGTCTCTGTAAACTTTCATTAAAATGAATTAAAACAAACCCCAAGCCTGCTGAACTACATCCATAAAGATGGCTGTTGCTGGGTGCCCTCCAGTGGATTTTTGACTCTGAGCAACTCCATATTGCAGAATAGATCTTCCCCAAAGGTTTCAAGACTATCTTTGTGGCTATTCTGTTATGTCCCGTCTTTCTCCCATGGAGTAATGGGATAGGTAGGAGCCATCAGCCTTCCAGTTTGCAGCTGAGATGTACAGATGTACAGCTTCTTCATTTTTTCCCTTTTTCTGAATGAAAAGCCAAGTCCTGAAATAATAACCAATTATGTTATCAATGTATTTATGGAGAGAAAGAAAAATAAGTTTCTCAGCAACGTTAAAAAAAAGTGATTGCTAAAATGGGCTCTGTTCATAGGATCTTTAAAAGAATTTTTTAAAATTAATTTTAATGAACATTTACTGTGTTCATAGAATATTTATGGGTCTGTCTAGTCGACTTGATGGCACCTAACAACAGCAACTACTACTACAGCAATGTTTGGGGTCTGTACGAAAAATATTAAATGCAATTATGTAAACAGATACCGACAAGGTCGTTTACATTCTTTAAAATTTCTAATTTCAAGTGGGCTCTGTACATTAGCAAGACCTCGGCATAGAAAACGCACGCCTTCGGGTTCTGGATTTCTTCCTATTCGAACTTTTACGGTAACCGTAGCCTGGAGCACAGCTAGACCTGCGGCGTGGGTCCCGCCCAGGGTCCCCCGCTGGAGCTGTGCGCGTGCGCAGAACGAGGAGTCCTGCCGGCGCGCGGCGGAGGCAGCGCACGAGCTGCAGGATGGCGCGGGCTGGAGCGCGGCGAGCTGCCGCCGTGAACCTGGCGCTGCGGCTGCTGCTGGGCTTCAGCCTGGGCCTGGACGCCGTCACGACCCCGACCTTGACCCCGACCTCGGCTGGCCCATCGGCGCAGGCCCCAGGTAAGCAAGCCCCACGGCAGCACCCGAGACGACCAAGTCTCACCCTTTGCGCCGGCACCGCCTCGCCATTGGCTGCGCGGCCTGTCAGTCGCGTACACTCCCCCCCACACGTGTCTTTTGACGTCTTAGCTTCTGTGCAGGCCCTAATGGGGGACCTCATCCCTAGCCCCTCAACTTCGGCCCTAACCTTCCACGATCATGCCCTGGCCCTCCTGAAACGCCTCTCGTGCTCTGCTGTCGTCTCTTATTGTCACCTCCATGCTGCCCTTCACTAGAAGGTGTCTCCAGGGACACCTAGGTCTTCCGACGCTCCCTCCACCCCCAGCCCCGCCGCTAGTGCCCAGCCTGAGATCACGAGGGTGCGTTTCCTCGCGACTGCTGGACACCCTCTTCCCAAGTCTCTGCTGCTTAGCCCTCTGCCCTTGTGACCTCAGGTTCTTAGGGGGAGAGCCATAATTTAATATCACTCGTGAGTGCTCCCCGAAGTCCCCAGCCGTTTTCCTTTTTGAGGCTACGAGGTGAAGAAGAGCCACCTCCCATGCTCACAGGTGTCCCTGATTTTCACAAGTGAGTCCAGGTTCACACACTCCTCCCTAGTTTTGGGGAGCGTCCCCTTCTAGCACCTCTGCCCACCCCTATACTCCCAAGTCCCTCACTTTCAGGCTAAGTGTACCTCGTTCCTTCAGAGACTCACACTCTTAAGAAGCCATCTCCACCCTCAGTACACTGAGGTCAGAACATCCCCTCACAAGTGAGCAGACTGAGGCCATGAGGGCCCCTCCAACTCCTGTCTGATGAGATCACTGCCCTATGGGACATGGGACAGGGTCTGCCCTGCTCTGTGGTGTGCTCCATACAGGGACATGCACCAGCTAGTCTGGGAGGAAGGCCGAGTGCTGCAGGGCTGCAAATGGCAGGACCAGGGGAGGAAACTGCCTAGAGACCGGTAGACCCCTGTGGGCAGGGAAGGAAACTAGGCTTCGGGCTGTGTCCAGCCTTTCCGGCTGACACAGACACAATATGAGCCGCAGGCCTGGCGAGGAGAGACTTCCATGCGCGAAGGGAGAAGGACCAGGAGGAGGAAGGAATAAGGCGGGGTTGGGGCCACTCCACACCTGCCCTGCTGCACCCAGAGGACACCCTGATGACCCCTCCCTCCGTCCCTGGGGCTCTGTCCTGCTGGCCAGGTACCAGGCCAGCTCTGCGACTCTGGATCAACACTCTCGGAGCTTTTTGGATTGTAGCCTGATCAGCTGCTGGGAGCCTACGAAGGCCCATATGTACCTGGACTCTGTCTGCCCAGCGGGCAACCTTATCTATCTATCGCCAGGCACTGCTCAGGGCCAGGGCCCAAAGAAGCCGTGGCTTTCACCTCCACTGAACGTCTAGTTTGTGGAGCAAGGAGGTTACCAGTTTAGGGACTGCTGTTATGAGTGAATGGTTTAGAGAGTTAACTTGCTCAATTGCTAACCAGAAATGGTTGGTGGTTTGAGTCCAGAAATGCCTCAGAAGAATGATCTGCAAATCTACTGAAAAGCCATCCATTGGGGAGACACCCATACCCAGGGGGCTGAGGAACCTGGTACCAACGTTGGGGTTAGCTCGAGCGGGGTTCAAATCCTGACAGCTGCTGGCTCTGGAGCCTTGGCCTTACTGCCCCTAGATGACTCGTCTGTCGAAGGAATACCCGGGGAACCCGCACTAGTCAGGCCTGGGTGAAATGTGTGGGCTGTACATGCCAGAGGCGCGCGTTAGGTTGTCCCTTTGCCCTGGATTCTAATGTTGGCAGTCTATGACCCTTGTGTTCCTGGAGTAAGGCCTGGACTCAGGTAAGGGAGTCCTATGCCTCACTTGGCTTGTCCTGCAGACCCCAGCGCAGGTTCATGCCCGCCCACCAGCTTCCAGTGCCGAACTAGTGGCTTTTGTGTGCCCTTCGCCTGGCGCTGCGACAGTGACAGAGATTGCGCAGATGGCAGCGATGAGGAGGAGTGCAGTGAGTGGCCACGCCCCTGGGGCGGGACATGTAGGGGGCGGGACCTGAGAGCTAGAGACTGAGGTGGTTGGAGGAAGCCTTAGGGGTGGGGCGGGAAGGAGGCAGGACTTGGCTTATGGGGCAGAACTTAAAGGGAAGGCAGGTCCGGCGTGCAGAGAATTGGGCCTTGGCAGGCAGGGCAAACTAGAATGGGGCCAGAGGATTGGTAGGGCTGGTAGATGGGGTGGGATTTATGGGTATCCAGCTTGAAGAGAGGTGGGGCTTGGGCAGGTGGGCTGGCAAGGAGGCGGAGCTAGTAGACTTGCAGGAGGAGGAGCTTACAGAGGCTAGTCTTTGGAAGGTGGGGCTAACAGGTGCATGGGCGGGGTCTTTTGGGAAAGATGGACTTGGTGGAGAAGTAGATCTGTTAGCCTTGCCTGAGGGGACTTCCAGGGACCTAGGGCCCTCTGTCTCCCTCTGTGGTGGGCATTTGGAGCCTGACCTTGTGCCCTCAACTACCCAGGAATCGAACCCCCAGGCATCAAGCCCTGTGCCCAGGAAGGGCGATGCCCACCACCCAATGGCTGCCTGGGTGGCCCGGGTAAGAGCCCTCACAACTGCAGCCCCCGGCCCTGCCCGGCGGGTGAGCTGCGCTGCGCACTGGGCGGTGCCTGCATCCCACGCACGTGGCGCTGCGACGACCACGCGGACTGCCCAGACTCCAGCGACGAGCGAGGCTGCGGTGCGTGCCCGGGACCTGGGTGGGAGGTGCTGTGGTAGACAGGGCACCTGCCACTCTGTGGCCATCAGGGTTGAGGACACTTACACACGCTGCCTGTGGGGAGGCAGTCGATTGCAGTGTAGAGCCTCCCCATAGGGTGTCCAAGTTGGTAGATCGTTAGGAGAGCAGATTGCACATTTTCCTCCGGCAGAGCAGTTGCTGGGTTTGGAGCTCTCTAAACCACTGCGTCACCAGGGCTCCACACAGCATGGTGAACAAACCAATCCCATTACCATCTGCTTGAGTCTGACTCTGCGGCCCGTGGTGCCCACTAGAACTGCCCCTCAGGGTGTCCGGGCCGACTCTTTAGAAAGTACACCACCTCGTCCTTCTTCTGAAGAGCAGCTGGTGGGTTCCAGCCCCCAGACCTTTCTGCTAGCAGTCGAGCACTTAACCACTGTTGTGCCACCAGGGTTTCTGCCAAGCCACAGTGAGGGGTGGCAGCTTTGTGGACTCTGGCCGGGGGTGAGCCCCTGGGGTCCCCTGGGATCTAGAACTCCATGGCCTGGGTACCCCCTTCCATGCTACTGAATGCTTGAGCTCCTCACAGGGACTACTGAGACCCTCCAGGGAAAGAATGTCACATCCACCGTGGCCCCCGTGAACCTGGAGAGGGTCACCTACGTCAGCAGTACCTGGGAGCAGAATGCGGACCCATCTGGGGACCAGGACGTGGACCCATCTGAAAACCAGACTGCCCTGGAAGTCATTACAGTCGCTGGTGAGATGACCAGGGCCTCCCCAAACCACCAAGGGTGAAGGGGCTGGGAGAAGGGGTGGGCTGAAATCTCTACGCCCCACCACTCCATGCCCTGACTCCCATGTCTGTCTTTCCGTCCTCCACAGCCGTGCTGAGTGCAGTCCTGGCTGTCGCCGCCCTCCTGGCACTGTTCCATCTTGTGGGGCCGTTTCGACACATGAGGGACAGTGGGCCCCTGCAGCTGTCAGAGAGCAAGGCCTTTCTGCTCTGAGGGCCGTCTGTCCATCTGCTGCCAGCCGTTTGCTCCTGCCTTGGCCGAGCCCTCCACCCTCGTCTCCTCTCGCCTCCTCTTCCATCAGCCCCCGCTGCACTGACCTGCTGCTGCTCTCCTGAAGGGGGCCGTGAGCTGTGATGGAGGAACGGTAGGAGAGGCTGGTGCGCAGCCTGGGGACCAGGCACTTCAGACATTGTAGCTCTGCACCCCTCGCTCCTGTAGGTCTGGCGTGGAGATTGGGGGTCCTTGGATTTATGAACTGGGACATTGACCACACCACCCCCAGGACAGAAAGGCTGGACTCTGGCCACTTCTGAATCACTCCATGGGGTGGGGTGGCCCTGAGGTTGGACACTCCTGCTGCCTCTGTGTAACTTTGGTGATTAAAGGCGGGCCTGCCTCTGGCCTTCTTTCTTCCTCCGCTCCAGCAGCCTGCTGTCTCTGCCGAAGCCCGTCCCCCAAGGTGGAGCTCCCAGTTCTGGCCACCCTGCCCCTCTGCTCTCAGTCCCCAGGGCCAGAGTGATTGGCCGGATGATGGACTGCACTGCAGTGAGGGGCCAAGCTGGGGCCCTGCTCCCCTGAGTCCAGGCCTGGAGGGTCTCCTTGGTCAGGGCTTCCCCTTGACTGATGTGGCATCCCTCAATCAGTCTTGGTTCCAGCCAGCTGTGACCAGGGCAGGGGTCTTCCGTGACCCTCAGTTTTCTCATCTCTGGAGTATCATGGCCCTGTGAATGACCTTCATGACATCTTTGGAGGCGGGCTTGGTATCTGCCTTTGCAGCCCAGCGCTGGGGGAACACCCAGGATTGAGACTCATTTTCCCCTCAGGACCTTAGGTCTCTGATGTTTGGCAGAAGTGAATAAACTCCAGTGATCAGAGCCTGAGTGGGGAAAGAGGAAGTGGGTGCCTCAGGGGGCCTCCTGGCATTCGTGAAGCAGCTCCAGAGTCCCCCTTCCCCAGTGACTTTCCAAGTCTGGGCCACAAGGAGCTTGTCCAGCCGTAGTTGTATGGCAGAAGTTGTGCCACCTCTGGGCTTCTTGGTGTCCCTGAGCTGGGCTGAGGGGCCCTACGGCAGGAACAGAATGGTGGTGGGCTTGTTCCACGTGGCTGGAAGCATGTAGACCAGAGCCAGATTGAATGAGTTAGCATTCTGGAATCATGAGTGGATTCCAGCCTGGGGACCTATTTGTGACAGTAGATCCCCAGAGGACTTCCTGCCTGTTGTCTCCAGGGAGGCAGATAGCCAGGCCTTTCTTTCACAGCACCACTGGACTGCTTCAGACCTTTAGGTTAATGGTCAAGCACAAGCTACCCCTTCCAGGGGCCCAGCTAGACCAGAGAGTAGAATTTTCTTGAGTTTAGGGTTTTTTCCCTCAGCTTTTTTTTAGGACACTTGTGTGTCTGACTGTGAGGCCGACCAAGGGCCTCTGAGACTCGAAGCTGAGCGGACAGAAGATGCTCTCTCTCTCTCTCTGGGCTCCAGGAAAAGATCCTTGAGTCTATGCATCTCCTGTTCCTCATTCCTTGGTTCCTTGGAGAGAGCTTGTAGTGTGGCATTTCTTTTTCCTCCGTCTCTGTTTATCAAATGTGCTGCTCTTCTGTCTCAAATGAGACTGAATTAAAACGTACCCTACACTGATTGTTAGATGTTAGGTGCCACTGAGTCATTTACAACTTATAGCGTCTCTATTATGACAGAGCTGAGTGAGTCACTATCTTGTACCATCATCACTATCTCTGATCTGCTTGAGCCCATTGTTACAGTCACTGTGTCAATCCAGCTTGTTGAGGCTCTTCCTCTCTTTCCCTGACTCCACCTTTCCCAGCATGATGTCCCTTTTCCAAGGACTAGCCCCTTCTGACAGTATGCCCAAAATATGTGAGGTGAAATTTCACTGTCCTTGCCTCTAATGAGCATCTTGGTTGCACTTTCTCTAGGGTAGACTTGTTTGTTCTCTTGGCAGTTCATGGGATATTAAGAACTCATCTCCAACACCCCAACTCAAAGGCATCGATTCTGCTGTCATCCTTATTTATTAATTTTTAGATGCATAGGAAGTAATTTAAAGACCATGACTTGAATCAAGTGCACCTTAGTCTTTGAACTGACATCCTTGCTCTTTAGCAGTTTGGAAAGATCTTTGGCAGCAGATTTTCCAATGCGGCACATCTTTTGTTTTTCTGACTGCTGTTCTCATGGATGTTGATTGTAGAAACACAAAGGGGGACACCCTGAATGGGTTTCAACAGCACTGGGTAGGGATGGTTATAGGGAGCACTGGGAGGCATCGTGGTTAAACACTCAGCTCCTAACTAAAAGACTGACAGTTTGAACCCACCTGTTGGGAGAAAGCTGTGGCAGTCTGTACCCATAGAAATCTACCAGCTTGAAGAAGTGGGTTTCTTCTTATGTGCCGTCAAGTCAGAACTGGCTCGTAGCTGACCCTCCAGTGGATTTTCAGAGGCTGAAAGTTGCATGGGAGGAAATTGCCCATCTTTCTCCTGCAGAGCAGTTGGTAGATTTGAACTGCCTGCCTTTAGGTTGGTAGTGGCGACTCCTTAGCCATGAGAGCTTCCCTAGTGGGTTTTTAGTGGATTCGGGTCCAGTTGGAAGTAGATTTTGTATTAATGAAGTGGTAACATAGTAGGTGTTGGTTGTGATCTAAGCCACATTCTACACTGATGGTGCCTTGTTACTTCAGAACCTGTCCTCAGATGGAACTGAAACAACTAGAAACCTATTGCTTCACGTGAACTCGACTCGTGGTGACCCCACAGGACAGCATGAACCACCCCATAGGTGTCCACATCTCATTTTCATGGGAGCAGATGACCTCATCTTTCTGCCTTGGAGCAGCTGGGGGTTTTGAACTGCTGACTTTTCCGTTAGCTGCCCAATGCTTAGTCATTGTGCCATCAGGGGTCCCTGTGTCCGCCATGACTCAGTTCCTCCTTTGGGAGCCCCGGATGGATTTTTGGTTAAGAGCTCAGCACACTCCTTACTGTGCCTCCAAGATACCTTCCATAACCACCCTAAGGGGTTAGGATTTACAGCACGTTTTGGGGGATGGCACAATTCAGTCCACAATAGCTCCCCAAAGCACAAAGGCAGGAGCTTTCAGGTTCCTTAGAACTCAAGTTCTGGCGAGCTCTGGTGGACTAGTGGCAAGAAGCTGCACTGCAATCCCAGAGGTGCAGGGTTTAAGTCCACCAGATGCTCTTCTGGAGAAGGAGTCTCCTCCTGTACTAGTCAGATCTGATTTGAAGGTACGTGTTGTTGTTGTTGTTGTTGTTATGTGCCGTCGAGTCGTTTGTGACTCATAGCGACCCTATGTACAACAACAGTCCTAAATCCTGCTCTATCCTGTGCCAATTGCACTGCCTCTGACACACCCATTCCAATTACCCCAGTCACTGAATCAATCCACCTCATAGAGGGTCTTCCCCTCTTGTGCCGTCCCTCCACCCTCCCAAGCATGATGTCCCTCTCCAAGTACCTGTCCCTCCTTGCAACATGCCCAAAGTATGTCAGACGAAGCCCCAGAATCCTTGACTCCAAGGAGCATTCTGGCTTCACCCTCTCCAGGATGAATCTGTTTGTTTTCTTGGCAGTCCATGGTACATTCAATATTCTTCTCCAGCACCACAGCTCAAAGGCATCAGTTCTCCTTCTGTCCTCCCTAGTCATTGTCCAACTCTCTGATGCATAACAAGTGATTGCAAAGACCATGGCCTGTATCAGACGCACCTTGGTCTCCAGAGAGACACTGTTGCTCTTGAGTACTTTAGAGAGGTCCCTAGCAGCAGACTTTCCCATCGCAATACGTTTCTTGATTTCCTGGGTGCTGGTGCCAAGAGTGTTGACCGTGGAGCTGAGCAAACTGAAGCTGTGAACAATCTCAATCTCTTCGCCATCCATCCTGATGCTACCAATTGGTCCAGTGGTGAGAATCTTTGTCTTCTTGACATTGAGCCTCAGTCCATACTGAAGGCTGCAGTCCTTGATCCTCTGCAGCAAGTGCATGAAGTCCTCCTCAGTTTCAGTGAGCAGGGTTGTGTCCTCTGCATAACGCAGATTGTTGATAGATCTTCCACCAATCCTGACGCCACATTTCTCCTCATAGAGCCCGGCCTCCCGGATAATCTGCTCTGCATACAGGTTGAAAAGGTATGGAGACAGGACACATCCCTGGCGTACGCCTTTCCCAGTTTTGAACCATGCAGTGTTACCCTGCTCTGTTCTGACGACTGCCTCTTGGTCCAAGTATAGGTTTCGCATTAGCACGATTAAATGTATGGGAAGGTACATATATACAAAAATAATTAAAAAAAAAATCAACAACCTGCCTCAAGTTCTGTGTGTGATCTCAGGTCCTGTGCCCAGTGGGACTGTGATAGGGGCACTGGGCCAGGAGGTGAGTGTCCGGAGACATGTGTCTTGGGGCCGATGTGGGTGGGTCAGAGCTCCAGCTGGAGTGTCTGGCGGGGGTGTGGACGCCTTGTGCACTCGAACGGACGGGCTGTCGGTGGTGGCTGCTTCCTCAGAGCTGCAGCTTTATCGTCCAGGTGCTGGACAGTCACACATACAAAGCAAATGTCCATCACACGTGAGTCCGCAGGCTTTAACTCTTGTTTCTGAAAACTGGCTCCATTCCACAGGCTCCTGCCCCATTCCATTCAAAGCCCAGGGAGCCTCTTCCAGGAAACTCCAGCAAAGTCCAGGATGGAAAGAGAGCATCATCGATGAATAGAGGTGACCTGGCTTTTATCTGCCTTGAGAGCCCAGGCCTGAGGGGTCAGCTCCCTGACCCCAGGCCACCCCAGCATACTTGGGATGACCACCCAGGCTCTGGTGCCCACCTCCACCTCTCAACAGAAAAAGCTTTGTCTCACATTCTTTGGACATGTTGTATTGTTAGATGCCTTCAAGTCTGACTCATAGTGACCCTTTGAACAACGTACCTGGAACTCGTCCTGTCCTGTGCCATCCTCATCAT